CCAAGTACGCCGCATTTTATTTTTGCGCAAACGGTTGCTGTTCCTCCTGGATGTCTGCAAGATGGGCGTGGCAAGGACCTCGCTCGTAGATTTATCACATTCATAGACGGCAAGCACTCACCTTTGTTTCCTGCTTCCAACTAACGTAACACTTTGTGGATCGTGGGATGACACGTGTGGTCTAGTTGAATGAGTTTTTTCAACCTGCAAAGCCAAGATTAGCGTAGTGACGAGTAAAACGAACCTCGGGTCAAGAAGTAGAGCAGGTGCGACAACTCGTGGGTTTCATACCAGTCGCCGTCGACGGCGAAGTCCAGAGCAGTCGGGGAACATATTCCAAGGTTCAAGGTTTCGCTAGTGTTCCGATGCACAGATTAACAAATACGGGATAGGAAATAACCTGAGCACGGGCATCAAAGATGCCGGTCATGCTGGAGCCGTCCCCATCCAAACTGAGAACTGACCGACGTTGACAGCGTTCACATTTTTCAACAGAACACAACAGCTTTGCCCGCGCTTTCGTGATCAAGGAAGAGACCGAACCTGTACATATCGTACCAGGGTATGTCTTTACCCTCGGATCCGAGACCTGCACTTACAGTATGAAGAGTCAGCATTGCAATTTCGACCAAACTTATACAGAAACACGCAGAATTACGCTCCCTTTGCGAGGAAAGTCAGGTTATTATTGTGTTCGTCGGCACCGACGACCTGGAGAAGTTGAACGCTGTAAGAGATCAAATCGCACCCACGCTCATGACGTTGACCGTGGCTCATTGTGCCCCCGCTGACATCGGACCGTACACCGAATCGAGCTCTGGGGTCTTTGCATTCATAAAAAGAGCATACAAGGTGACATAAGTAAGAACTAAGGAGGAACAATGCCGCACAAATTCCATAGGGAGCGATGCGTGAAGTGCGCAATGCAGATGCGCTGGCCGTTGCTGAAAGCCTCCACCTCGTGTGGCAGGATCTTGCCACGGACCATGATCATGGTGCCGCCAGTGTAGCTCATGCGGAGGTTGAGGCAAGGAATGTGGAGCGCGCCTCCGGTGAATGGGCCGACGACGACCAAGACGGCCCATCCCCTCTTGTGGTCGGACTTGTCGGGGTGAAGGGGTGTTTGCCGGTTGTACATGATCTCGCGGCCCTCCATGACGAGAGGGTCGTCAGAACCAATGACTTTGAGGAACTTGTGGCGGCACTCGGCCTCCTTGCGCAACTTCTTGCACGCTTCGAAGTGGGGCTCGTCGCCGTACTGGAGCATAGCATTGACACGGTACGAGATGAGATGAAGCTGGTGGATCAACTCCACGGTGGCGTTGAAGCTGCGACCAGTCTTCAGGATGTGCGAAGCGACGGTGGGATTTTCATGCTGAATGAATTGTCAGCAAGGGAACGGAGAAGACAAGACGCGAGGACTCACCTCATGCCCAATGGCATGCCATGCCTTGGTCATTTTGAAGAGGCCCGCAACCTGGCCCAAGACGTTCTTGTAGGAGGACACTGAACCGCGTCCCTCCTTGTCCGCCCCGGCGCACTTTGGGAGCTTACCACCCAGGGCTTTGACAAACTTGATGAGTTGGTCGAGCAAAATTAACTAGAAAAATTTGAATTGAATTTTACGGAGACGGATATAGGCGACATATACCGTAGACGCAAGTTTGATAGCATTAGGAAGATGAATAATGAGGGGAACACCGTCATTGCTGACGGCCATTCTTGGTATGCCGTCCATCCACTCGTGTTTCGGAATGTCGCTGGTATCCCGTTGCTTCTTGTTGGTGTAGGCACGCTCGAAGCTGAACTTTTCCATGACCACTGCTCGAAAGTGAGATCAGGGCAGGGGGTTGGAGAGGAAAAACACACCAGTATTAGCTTTGGCTTTCCCGACCAGATTCCGGATTTCACGGTTGAAGCCCTTGCGGAGGCGTTTGAACTTGGCTTGATCAAGTCCAGTGTCCTCGTCGGATGACTCCTGGTCGGACTCCTCGTCTGACTCGTCAAGACGGGTGCGTTTTGCCGGGCGCTTAGGAGGGGGAGATGGAGGTGGGTGGAACGGGGGAGCTTGCACCGAAGCACTGGTCTTGGCGGCACGAGGAATGAAGCGTCGCATTGTGAGGACGGTGAGGAAAGTGAGAAATTGACTTGATTTTGCGAAGACTTATATACTGCAATGCGAGGTGGCTTGCGATTGTGGACCAAAGCATCGGACCAAAGCGGATGGCGAATTGATCGTCCGAGGTGTTCGTTCGACCAAAAGCAGCATTCTGATGGATTGATCATTGTATCTTTCGATCGATCGTCCAGGCTCGTTGAATTCAAAGCACGGCCTAAAGTAGTAATCAATATGACGGCCACACCAATTTCCTCGACCACAATACAGGCCACAAGCTTAGTTGCCAAATCAGGAGAAGCATGCGGTGTCTCGCACGGATGCGGCAGCAGCCATGTGTCGCACGGAATTGCCTTATTTTCGGGCGGAGGTTAGAGTCCTCTGATTCCTGACCGTGACATTAGTGTCTATTCTCTTCCTGGTCCTTCTTCTGTTGAACCTCTTGTAACGGCAACATGTAAATTTAGAGTAATTATAATGCAGTATGTGTGCTTCATTAATGCATATGCCAACTTCAGATGATCTGTCCTGGCCTTCACTCGAGCAGCGCCAACAGTAGAATTTGGGGACATACATTAAATCATATAGCGATGGGTAAATGCATCATGGAATATGTACATGAGAGTTCAAATCTGTCACGGCGACTTGAAAGAAAACGACTTACTCGGCAATCAGCGAATTGCAGCCCAAAGGATCCACTCGGGGCCGCCGCTGTGAGCAGCGCACGCACAACGCTTCACGGAGTCACGAGCGTCTCTGCGTGTGTCGCACGCGTAAGCGCGTCATGCCCAGCCTCGAGCCGCGTTTCGCTCGAACGGGTTTTGGGAAAAAACTCTAGAAAACATACGTTAACTCCGGGAGGCGGAAAATCCGACGCAGCTTTCCAGATCTTAGTCCCCGCCGGCGTGGCGGGTGTGCACGGGGGAAGTGGCTTCGTCGGAGCCTCGGACATGCGCTGCAAAGCAGCGTCAGTGTCTCGAACAATCAAGAAATGGGCAACCATAACGCACTCAGGACTTAATTTTACGTCCGCTGACTATCACCAAACCCCGCGGTATACATTGCTGTATCGTAGACCGGTTACATAGTGTACCTGATGAAAATAATCAGCTAAGATTCAATAAAGGTCAATGAAACTGACTCACATAAGACTTTGCCAGCCCAGGCGCCACAGGTAGTACTCCACTACTGTGATGACACCCCACGGCCCCCACAAGCCGTGTAGTCGAACTTTTCCTGGTGTCGTACGCCGCAGAACTCGCAGTCCTCCGGCCAAATCCAGGCGCCGTGGAGCTTGAAGTGCAGATGAATGAGGTGTTCTGAGGATAAATTAGCGAGAGAAATCACAAGAAGGAGAACCTACCGAACTGCCGCGCGTCGGGCACGTCCCAGTAGAACCACCACTCCTGCTGCTGCGGCCTGCACTGTCGCATCCACTCGCGTTTGCGCCTCGGAGGGCGGTTGGAGCGCCCGATCTTGATCTCCGGTTGCCGGGTGCGTTGGGCGTTACGGGCGGCCGCACGACGAGCGCGCCGATTCATTGGGAGCGGCTGGGGTTGGGTGGGCGGGATTTCGAAGGCGTAGAGCCCTCCGCGCTGCCAGCCAGCCTGGTTGGAGGCCAAGATGGCGGCTACGGCGGCGTCCATCGCGGCGTCGATCGCGGCGCTCATGGATTTTCTAGGCCGAGAAGTCGGCGCCAAAGGCTGGAGGGCGGGAAGACCTACCTGGTGATAAGCGCGAAACGCGTCAAAAACTACAAAAACCGAGTTAGCAGAAGCATAGAACCATTAGAAAGCAGACACACGCAACCAAAGTAAAACTCTAGCTGGGTGGTGGTGATTGCTGGTCAAGAGCGGCGCGTCGAAGACTGCAAAAGAAAGTTATCAGAAAGCACAGAAATCAAGGAAAAACAGACCCACGCAACCAAAGTAAAACTCCAATTGGGTAGTGATGGTTGCTGGTCAAGAGCGGCGCGTCGAAGACTGCAAAAAGAAAGTTAGCGGAAAGCACAGAACCCAAGGAAAAACAGACCCACGCAACCGAAGTAAAACTCCAATTGGGTGGTGGTGGAGGTTGCTGGTCAAGAGAGGCGCTCTCGCCGGTCGTCGGCGGGACACCTTTTATAGGCCGGCAACAGCGGTGGCGGGCCATCCAGCACCGGGTTGAGCACGGCGCGACTTGCTGCGAACGAGAAAGAGAATTGCGCCGGGCGCGACGAGACAAGGAGGAGTGCGAGCGCGAGGAAGAGGAGGGCAGCGGAAACGAGGCGGGGAGGAGGAGGAAGAGGATGGCGCGGGCGAGAGGATGAGGAGGCGGGCGGGGCGACGAGAAGGCACGAGGAGGAGGCGGAGGTGGAGGGCGTCTGAGTGCCGGGTACAGGAGGACGTGAGTTTGGTGGCGGACGGGTAAGTTACCAGCGTATATATATATACACTCGCCGCCGCCCGCCCTCATCGGTCCCGCGGCTGAGGCAGGCAACTGATTGCGAGCGCAGCGCATATGCAATAAACACTTGGTTTGCTTCAAGTTTGCTTGGTCGAATAAACACAAACAACTTTGCATGTGCGTGGCTGACGGTCCTTCCCTGGGGGAAAAAGGGCTTCAAACTCCTTCAATTCATGTGATACTATCGCAACGTGGAGACTTCCATTCGACGGGGATTTTCTTTTGAGGCCAATATAGGGTGTTTTGAGCGGACAACCCTTGGCAGGAGCTGAGGGGGACGCGAGCCAGGAAGCTGGCCATGGGGCAAGGATTTCACATAGTGCTGCCTGTAAGACGGTAAGCAGTAAAGGGCGCAAGAACACCTGGCCGTGTCCGTTCTCGATCTAATTCGTGAGTGGTTAAAGCCCGGTCAATACAGACGGACTCCTCACCCTGTAACGGCCTTGTGGCTCAATGGTTAGAGCGCCGCTGGTAGTCACACCTGTGACCGCTGCTTTATATTTACAGCGGAGGTACATGTGTTCAAATCACACCTAAGCCATGGATCATCATTGTTGCTCTTTTTTTTCGCATCTCTCTTTTTTTTAAAAAAACAAAACAGAATGCCTATTTTTCTAACGTTAATCTCAAGTCTCCTCGAATGCTTGTATGTTTCATTTACACCACGAGGTGCAAGAACCGTGGCATTGCAAAAAGGGTAGTAAAGTATTTACAGTATAATGCAGTATGCAATATTCGTGAAGTCTCGCTATGTACATTATAGTATAGTATTAATACAAGTATTCGGGATGAACAGTCAGCACCTAGCGCAGGATGGCGCAATCGGTCCCGTGACGTGGACGTGGACGTGGATGCCGCGCGCCTTGTTGTCTTCACGTGCCTCAACGTCGCCCTCTCTTCCTTCTCCTTCTTTCGCATGCCCTTCGTCTTCTGGCGCTCACGTACATGCAACTCCCCTGCCGCTTTGAGACCGCGCGTGATTGTCACCTTCTTGTACCCTCTCTGCCGTGCCACCGCCTCCGCGCGTCCCGCGTCCATGTACAAGTCCCCGTTAGGCATGACAAACCACAAGGGGCTGGCGGGATCGGTTTTCAACCGGCGCAGCGAAGTCAGAATTTTGACGAAGCCGCCTAAGTCACGATCGTTCACAACCTGCTCGGCGGCTTTTCTGCTCAAAAAAGGGTAGGTGAGCTAGATGGGAAGTGAAGATAATAACTTACGCGTCGCAGTAGGCTTCACCATTGGGAAAAGGTACCAGGGCTCGCCGTCGCCGCCGTCGCCACCCGCATCGCCGCCTTCTACATCCGAGTCTTTGCTCGAGCTCGTCCGCCTCCTCCTCCAATGCGCCGGTCGACAAAGCCCCGACCTCCCACACGATGTCGCCGCGGGGGGAACAAGCGAATTCTCGTTGGGTTTGTGGGTATGCATCAGACTCCGCGTGCAGGGTCGTTGAAACCTCGGCGGCGGTCTTGCAGGAGATCACCTCGATCCCGGCCGGGAAGGGTGGCTTGACGTGGAGCTTGCGCCCGAACTTGCGCACGCCGTTTCTGGGAGTAGGTCAGCTAAATCAGAGGCAGGAGGAAACAACTAACGAGTCGGTATAGACCTTGAAAGGCCCGGCGTTGCTAACAAAGTAAAAATGCTGTTTGGAGGGTCCGTTGTGGTATGGAATGCCCTTGAAGTTCGCGCTCGGGAGGAAGATCCTTTGGCAGGCTATGTAGCTGGGGTCGGCGGAGTCTGGGCCTGCACGCCCGATCACGTAGCCGGGCTTTAGCCGGGTTGGAAGCTTGGCCGTGGCGGAGGAGGAGTTGGGGCCGGATGCCATTGGTGCGAGAGAAATTCGACCGTCAATCGTCGCGGATTGGATCTATGCGCAGATGCCGCTTCAGACAATACGCGGAGTTGTGACGCTACGGACGAGGACGACGTAAGTCATGATCACCGGGGTTATAAACGCTAGCAAGTTACGCGCTTCAGACAATAGGTGGTGCTAGGATGAGGACGAGGTAAGTCACCAGCGTTATAAACGCTAGCAAGTTACGAGGAGTTGGGTGATGTGGGTGGGACGGAAGCAAAAGTGGAGGCCAACGGATCACGAGCCGAGCATCGCCATGGGTTGGATTAGATTAGATCTCGCCAATTTTATGAGCTCGGGTTTCGCCGCTGCGAGCAGGGCGCGAAGAGAAACAGGAAAACATATATTAACTGCGGGACGCCAACAATACACCCGGATGCTTTACAAGCAGATTTCACAATGATAAGAGTTGGCCGTCATAAACAAGTTTGGTCGTCCCATTGATCAGGGTGATAGTACTGTACCTGTAAACGAAGGGGGATTTGGTGGCCATGGACAACAGGCCTTGCGAGGGACGTGATCGGGGGTGTACCTGTCAACAGTTTATAAGATATTGAAGCAGAAAAATGACGAGATAAGATCAAGACTTGCCGCCGCACGTGCCGAAACAGTTCCAATTGAAGCAGAACTTGCAGAATCATGCAGCAATGGCTTGAAGTAAGCTATTGAATCGGGATCAACACGAGCAACAGTTTGCTAGGAAAATTGGCTTACCCACGTAATCTCCAAACAAATGAATCTCGCTGCCAAAGAATAAGATTGGCAGTGGGAACGCATAAAGAAAAGGCTCACTTGTCCCCGCGAACTGCAAGGGCAATTCTCTGTCCCTGGTTAAGAGCCAAGTGAACTGAGGCGAATTCGATCTTGCGAATGAATATGAATGACTGAGAGAGTGGAAAGGACAAGAGTCACTTGCCTTGCCAGGAGTGAGGCAGGCGACAGTGGCCTCTTGAGTCAGTTCATCAGCATTGCCGTGGTAGATCACTAGCGAGCTACGAGCGTTGCCACAAAGTTCTCCGCCCAGCGAAACATTGGTGACAACAATGTCATGACCAGAGACCTGGAAAACAATCGGCTTGTTCGGGGACACTTTGCAGGACCTAGCGGCAGATAATCTCAACGCTCCAATAGGCAAGTAGAGCTTGCTAACTCACCACTGGCCAATCTTCCTTTCGAGCGACATGGTGGAAGGGAATAGGATGGTAGAGGGAGAGTATTGAGATCGAACAGATCGCGGTGCGAGTATAGCGTAAGAATGGCGAAATGGATCCGGATGGCTATATAAGAGAAAATGGAACAAAGGAAGCATTGTCGACGACAAAGAAAGAAACAAAGAAAGTTTTGTCACAGAGACGAAGGAAGGGTTATAATTATAACAGAAAGAGGCCAAAGGGTGCTAGGATGAGGACGAGGTAAGTCACCAGCGTTATAAACGCTAGCAAGTTACGCGCTTCAGACCACCTGTTAATCCCAAATAACAACACCAGTTAGAGAGGGCACAGCGGTGTGTGTGCCCCCTCTAATTAGAAGCAAATACAGGTGTTTCCCCCATGCTGCAGATTATGCTGCGGATATGCTGCAAATATGCTGCAGCAACACCGCAGCATATGGCTGTAGGGGACTTAGAGCATTATTTCACGCATGTATTAGGTAATCGTGCGCCTGTCCTAAAAAGGAAATGGGCCAAAAAAAATTGCAATACGACAAAGTACTCTATAGACATAGATGTATCAAGAAAACCTTTCTCGCGACTACCGTATACCTGTGCCCTCTCTAACTGGTGTTGTTATTTGGGATTAACAGGTGCGTATACCCGGGGGCCTCCCCCGTTTCCCCAGCACTATGTTTTGCTTCCCGGAGGCGGCGGCGGCGGCCTCGCTGGCAGGAGCGCTTGCTGCGGAGCTGGCGGGACAGGAGTCGAGGGTGCCAGCGGGCGGCATATCGGGGGTGGAGGCCACCTTGGGCGCGTTCGTGGAGGGCACGTTGGGCACACCAGCGGCGCGTCCGTTGAGTGCGTTGGTAGTGGGGTTGTCCACGTTTGTGGAGGGCAGTGTGTCGGGCGCGTCGGTGGTGGGGGCATCGGTGGTGCTCGTGGGGAGCGTGTCGCGGGAACCCTCGGGCGCAATGGTCTTCAGCTTGGGCCTCGGCTTTGGCCTTGATTGCGCGGGCGCGGGCGGTGCACTCGGCTTGGAGGGTGCCTTGGGGGGGGGGTGTGGTGCCCCTGGCTTTGACGCCGACGTCGACTTCTTGCGGGGCGCGTTGTCGGTCTTGACCTTCTTCTGCTTTCGCCTCCCATCGACCTCGTCCTCATCACCATCGTCGCGAGCCGTCCTCTTCCGCTTCTTGCGCGTCCCCTCGCCCTTTTCTCCCCCAGCATCCTTCTTGCGCTTCGACTTCTTGCCAGTCGGAGCCTCATTGTCATCGCGGTCGCCTCGCTCGTCCCTCTTGCGCTTCGTGGGCTTGGGGCCGTGGTCGCCGTCGACATGGCCCTTGCGTGCCTTCTTCGCAAGGCGGAGAAGCCTCGCGCGCCTCTCCTCCACCGACATGCCTGCGAAGGCCTTGCGGGGGCGCGACTCCTCCTCCTCTTCGTCCACTTCCTCTGATCCCTCCTCGCCTGCCGCCCCCTTCGCCTTCGAGCGCGACGCACGGCCGGATACCCTCGACTCCGCCTTGTCCTTCACCCTGCAGGGACGCGACTCCACATCCTCCTCCTCCTCCTCTTCGTCGTCTTCATCTTCCTCCTCAGATCCCCCCTCACTCGCCACCGCTTTCGCCTTCGAGCGCGACGCACGGCCCGAGGCCTTTGGCGCCGCCTTGCCCTTCACCTTGCGCACCTTCTCGTGTGCCTCGCCGTTCTTGACCATCTCCTTGAACTGGGCCAGGAGACGCATTTTCTCCCCCGAAGTGAGCACTTTCCACTTGCAAGTGCCACACTTCAGGGCGTCACGGAGGATACGGAGGGGCCCGATGGCCGACTGCTTTGACATGCACTTGAAGTCGACCCCCTCGGGCCACCCCACAAGCCCGACGTTCTTCCCCTCGACGAGCGCCTTGATATAGTTTTCGTAATTCATGGCCACCTTCGTCTTTTGCATGACGGCTTCTAGAAAAGAATAGAAAATTTAGTACCGTCCAGGCAGCGCCTGAGTGAAGCACGTACGGAGACCCGACTTGATCATCGCGGTGCATTCCTGCTGCATCCCTACGAGCGTATCGTTGCCAGTATCCCCTGGCAGAATCGTATTAGCCACAAATCGCCGTCCCAAGTCAGAAGAAGCCTGCGCACCTCGCTCGCGGCTCACTGCCCACAACTCAAACAACGCGCTGACATCTGCTGGGTCTTTCTTCAAGACCTCGCGAAAGAAGTCGAGCGCGCCCCACGACTCGATCGTGACAGGCACTGTCGTGTCGTGGATGTGGCCGCGGGTAAACATCGCGAACCCGATCATGCCCGCACGCTCCGCAAGACCTGTGATCTGCGACTGTGGTCAGGCTGGTGCACAGGCATGGGTTAATACAAACACACCTCCAGCATCAATCGCTCCACCGTGCGCTTTGCATCCGCGCCGGCGGCGAGGTTGTTGGCTCGCTTCCCGTGGTACTTGCGCCTGCGCTTCGCGAGCACCTCAGCGACCATGTCCTCCTCCTCCTCTGGCGTGAATCCCTCCAGCATCGACGGGTCGTCT